CTTTGGACTCAACTTGAGGTTGGCACTCTGGATCTTCATGAGCACGCGTTCCAGGTTTTGAAGGTGTTCCTCAAACGTACGGCCTACGATGATGATGTCATCCAAATAGACCAGACAAGCATCTCCAATTAGCCCGGTAAGTACAAGCTCCATCAACCTTTCAAACGTTGCTGGAGCATTGCACAACCCAAACGGCATGACTTTGAATTGCCACAGACCCTTTCCTGTGGAGAATGCAGTTTTCTCCTTGTCCTTAGGGTCAATTTCAACCTGCCAGTAGCCACTTTTCAGATCTAGCGTACTAAACCACTTTACGCCTGTAAGCATATCCAGCGTGTCATCAATTCTTGGCAAGGGATAGCTGTCCTTCTTTGTAATGTCGTTCAGGCGGCGATAGTCAACACAAAACCGCATGCTGCCGTCCTTCTTCTTTACCAGCACCACAGGTGAACACCATGGACTAGATGAAGGTTCAATAACACCATCCTTCACCATTCCCTCAATCATGGTTTCCACTTCCTTTTCACGTGCTACTGGCAATCTTCTTGGCCGCTGACGAATAGGCAATTCTTGTCCTGTGTTTATTTTGTGTTGAACTAAGCCAGTCTTTCCTATGTCAGCTTCGTTTGACGAGAAAACATTGGCGTACTTGAGTAACAACTTCTTCGCCTTGACCATTTCATTCGGGGAAAGAACGCTGCGACAGTCTTCCAAAAGTGTGGTCACTATCGTTTGTCCATCCTTGCTGGGGGTCCCGGTCGATAGATATTCGCATCGACGCAACCAATCCACTTCCTCACTAGTACCAACCAATGTGCCTTTTTCTATAATCTGTTCCTGATCACAAAGGTTCAACACACGTACTCCTGAGATGTCGGTGGTTCTGACCAAGGTTCGAGCCACTTTCCATGGAAGGTCATTGTCTACCCTTTCCACGAGTACACAACGATGGGCTTGCCCAGGACTCCGAGGAAGACTAACCGGCACAATCGTTTCCGATCTCGGCGGAAGAACAATCTTCTTAAGGCTGTACACATTCCCTGGTAACGCCCCTTCCACGAAAAGTTCTTCTTGTCCACATTTCAAAACATCTTGCTTAACGTCGATCTCACAACAATTCTTCCTCATAAAGTCTAGGCCCAGGATGCAGTCGTCCATTATATCAGCCACGATGACATTATGCAGGTAGATCATGTTGCCTAGCTTCAACTCCATCTCCTTCTCTCCACGGACGGGTATGCGCTGACCGGTGGCTGTCACCAAATTAATGCGTTCTCGGTTGTATGCGGAGTCCCCAAGGAACCGACTTATAAGTTGGGAACTGACAACCGTGCGAGAGGCTCCAGTGTCTATGGTCAGTTTACACGGCGTTCCGTTGACTTCGCCCTTGATGATTAGGCTGTTCCCATCATGGGTTTGTGAGATCGAAATCCTTGGGGCTCTTTTAACATCAGCCAGCACCCGCCAGTTTCCCTGCTGCTGCTGGGCGGTGCTATTATCCGCACTACCCTCTCGAGATCGATCACCTTCCCTTTTTACAGTTCGCTTAGGGCAGCTGGATCGAAGATGGCCCCTTTCTCCACAGCCGTAGCACCTAGGGCTGTAGCTTTTATTGCGGTCCTGAACTTTAGCTGCTGCAACCTCCCTGACGCGGTGGGAACGATGATCCTGCCGCACGGCTTCCACCTCCAGTGCATGGGTCAAGGCGTCCTTAAGCGTCTCGTGGTGCCCGAGCCTCACAGCAGCTCTGACTTCAAGGTCGCGGATGCCGTCGATGAATGTCTGCACCAGGTTCCCTACAATAAGCGCAGGTACAGACTGGTACGCTTTTCGAACCAGCTTCTCTACCTCAAGGGCCCACTGCTGCAGGTTTTCGTTACTGCGTTGCACGCGATCTTTGAGCTGCGCACGAAAGACGTGTTCCAGGTGAGCGTCGCCATATCTCGCCTCCAATGCCTCAAGGAGCTGCTCGTAAGTCACTTCCTTACCGAGAGCTTCCAGAACAGTTAATGCCTGGTCGCGCAGGCCTAGGGTGAGAGCAGTCATGGCCTGACTTTTATTCCAGCCGTTCGCTTTCATGACAGCCTCGAACTGGATTTTATAGGCCGACCAGGAAGAAGTCCCGTCGAACGGTGGCACTTTGAATCCACGTAGCGAAGGTGTTGTAGCTACCACGGGAGCTGTAACTCCATCCCCAAGTTTGAGGTCGTCCAGCGTTTTCTTCACATCAGCCATCACGTTGTCAACCCGATTGTTCACTTGGTCGATTCGGGTTTCAGCTTCCGACAGGCGGTTGTTATGTTGAGCAACCCTATCCTTCACCTCCTTTATCTCTTTCCCGAAGGTAGCGTGAAGGTCCTTCCTGAGGAGCATCTGTTCTTCCATACCGCGCTGCAGCTGCTCTTCCAGCCGACGGGTCTGTTCCTCCTGTCGGCGGGCCTGTTCCTCCTGTCGGCGGGCCTGTTCCTCCTGTCGGCGAGCCTGATCCTGCAGCATCATCATCAGAGCACCTAAGTCAGGTGCTGCAGATGCAGGAGCTGCTGACGGGCCAGCCTCCGTGGTTAGCAACTGGCCCTCCGACGTTTGCGGCGTTGCATTACCAAATCGTCTCTGGTCCGTCTCCTGTTGGCGTTGACTTCGGGTACGGATACCCTCCGTGTCGTCTTTAGGTAAAATCGGCATATTTGATCCCACTTCTGACACCAATTGTTACGAGCTTCGGGTTCGAGACAATTAAAAACTGCCGACTGAATTACCAAAATTGACACTTTAATTACACAACACTAATTACAATCAAAAAATCACACTAATAATAAAACACAGTTCGCCGTTATTTCGCTTCGAAGTATTCTCTTGTATCGCCAATTCAATACTGCCCCGGTCGTGGTCTATACCGGTCTTACCGGTATAGACCACGACCGGCTGTCGTGGTTATGTGGAACTCACTGCGACTAACCTAATCTAACCTAAGTGCCTACTCACTAAATACCACCTGTGAGACTGGCATTGGCTTATGAGGCCTTTCTACCGAATCGGAAGCGACCCTTTTAGAAGAAAAGTGGGCGCAGGAGGACGACTTCCACTAAGCCACTGTGTTTTATACCTCCACCGTTCGCGTGGAATCCAAGGTCACACGTGCCTTCGTTTCCAGGAATCGAACTACATTAAAATTCCTTTCGTCAATTTTTTACGACCAATCACGTCTTTGTTAATAATTAAATTTTAATTCGTTGCTATAATTTTAAAATTGTTAATATTTTAAAGTAGGCATTTTTATTGGTTAAGATCTTGTTATTTATTAGTACCTAAGGTATCACATTTTATTAATAAATCATTCTACTCGATTCTTCTGTTTCTACTCGTTCCTGCATTGGTGACCAGTCATTATCACTACTACTTCTACTTAGGATCAATCCAGGCATAAAGAGTAAGCTAGCATAATAATACTGGATATAAACAGGATAGAAATAAGAACGCATTTGCAGCCTTATTCGTTTGAAATTGGTTACCGATGTCCAACTGCAGTATCAGCACAGGTAAATCATGTTACCATATAAGAAATCAAAAAGAGCTTAATTATCCAGAATAATGCACTGCAAGTTCAATTTACAAATTCTCAGTGTACTTAAGAGAGTACATTTTAGGCTTCCTTGATTTTTCTGTTATTTAAGTTTATTAAAAAAGTGATTTTTTTCGTCTCCCTAGGGCATTTAGTTTATGCGCAAGGAGAATAACTGAAATCCCAGAGCCTATTTTACCTTGGTGGTGTGGCTTTATTTTCATTAAGGACCTTTCCACCATAATCTTAATGAGAAAAGTTTGTTAACAAAATACAAAACAGATAACGCTGTATGGTCTAAGTTTTTTGCCTACTTGAACTGGTAAATCATAACAACAATCTCTATGGTTCAGTTAATTTTATTAAGATTTTTGGCTTGTATGCTTGTCTTTTAAATTATGTCTTCTTTTCTTTCGGGTTTTTGGTTTTTTATATATTTTCAGTATCAAGTGACAATAATCCTTTTTAGTATACTGCTTCACTATATGTTAATGCTTCACATTAATTAATTTTTGGAAGATTTTGTCGACAACTTGAGCCAGCAGATTATAGTATCTCAAGGTGCCTAAGCTGACCGACACCTTATCTTAAGATTCACATAACCAGCGGAGCACTTGTTCCACCGTTCACAGAAATGGTTTAAAGTGAATTTTAACATTGATAATTTAAAATTAAAAATTTTGTACAGCCGACTTCACTATAAGTTATTAAGAATAACTCAAAAACGATTGGTCTGACCTTGATCAAATTCATATGGGAACACACGAGAAGTACCTACCAGCTTTCAAACAAAAAAATAATCATCGAAATCGGTTCACCCAGTAAAATGTTATGAAGTAACACACATAAAAAGCATACAGTCGAATTGAGTACTGTCTCCTTTTTGGAAGTCTAAACACAAGTGTAACGTACTTCGAAAGTGATTAGTTATATCAGGTTTTTTATCCCCTTTCAGGCTTTGAGATATTATCGTTATGAACTATCCACTGGATTAACCCGTTATCAAAAATCTCTCAAGAACTTCGCAATGAGACGTATCAGCATATTGTAATGATTTTTTGTGAACAAAACACAAATCAGACAAGGCTGTATTATATAAGGACTATGCCTGCCTTAATTGGGGAATCGTTACACCACAACAACGACAATCTCTATGGTTTCTTTGACGTGTGGAGTGCTTCGTGGGCATGTAGGCTTGTGAATTTTTTAAATTTATTTACAATTTTCATGTATCGAAGTGCGATTGAAAGAACTAAAATAACGACAAAACATAGTATTGTTTTTTAAGGTATTACTTATTTCTATATGTTTGATTTACACTTTAAATATTCTAACCTTTAAACTTAAGGTAAATGTTTATTATACAATTAAATATTTTAAGATATTTAAAAATAGTGATGGTTACTTAAATTATTTCTGCAGTTGAATTAAAGAGGCAAACATGAGTCGGTTTTTCGCGACTGGGACAGATTCAGAATCGGAAAGCTCAAGTGAAGAGGAGCAGGTAGTTCGTGCACCAGCACCCGTCTACACTGTAAGTTTTTAACATATTTAATTATTTAATACACCAATTATTTCAAAAATATATTTACCACATAATATGATTTTAGTCTACTATACAATATCAGCAAAAGTCAATATTATAACATAGCCATATGAGTGAATAAAAATTATATGTAATATAAAGATTTTTGTGTATTTTTGATGTAATTTAATCTGAGTATTCATCATTTAATATTATGTATAATCAATATTTGTATCAGAAATATCAATATTATTAACAAAAGAATTAAGGTATTGAGGTAAAATATGTACATGTAGTTTCTTAATGATTAGTCTAGGGCAAAGTTAAATATATTTAATTACCATGTCTAGAAGAAATATATATATATATATGGGTGCAATGACAAGATAAATGAGTTGTAACTATGAGTTTGCTGTATTTATGCATTGTGATTTGTTAATCACAATGCATAAATACAGCAAAAATCACAAAATATGAGTAAATAAAAGTAAGTCATTTTTTTTCACTAAATATACATTGTACCCTTTACAAGGAGGATTGCCTTCTCCTACTCCTTTTTTTCCTTCCTTCTTATACAGTTAAGCAGGGGAGGTGCGTGAATTTGTTGGGCCATGGGCTAACACTAATTGGGGGCCTACCAAATTAATCAAGTCAAAAAACTGTTTTCCATAATGTATACAGTATGGAAAAAAATTAGGACACTAAAATATTTTATTATTTTATATGACTTTGATGCACAAACAGTAAAATGTAAGACATTATCTGTAATATAAAATTGAATCGCTGAATGTGTTGCTAAGCTCAAATCTCAAGAGCAACTGAACCGATTTCGCTAATTCTTTTTTGACAATATTTCTTGAAGTGCGAAGATGGTTCTTACGGAGAGAAAAGTTTCAAAAACTGCCTGAAAAAGTCTAAAATAAACACTTCTATATTCCATACAAAAGATTCATAATAATACTTAAAAGTCAATTTGAACTTTAATACCATACCATAAAGTTTGTGTTAGTGGAGGGGTTCTGGGAAGGCAAAACAATTGAGTGACATTAGTATCATATAAATATTATATCCTATCGTATCATATAAATGTTTGTCAATATTTATATGATGGTAACATTGTGGTAAAAATGTGATGTTGTGTTAAATTATACTTTTCTACATTTTTGTGCTGCAAATTTCTTTATTTGCTCTTAACTTTGTAAGTCCTTTGTTAAATCACAATTTATGGAAAGAACTAATAAATTATTTAGTTGATTATTCAACATTGTTGTCCTATATATGCTTTCTATATACAACATCCTGGAGAAAGAGCACTCCGCTTCACAGTTAGTGCTTACCAAAATTAAAAAAAAATCTATAAGATAGTAAAACATTTTACTGCAAGAAGTGTAAGACTCTAGCTTCGAGTATAGTAAGATTTTAACCGAACATATTCACTAAATGTTTGTATATGTCACCTGGATATCCAAAATGATATACAAATATCCTCTCTAAAATTTATTCCAAATAAATAGTATCCAGTTTCACCACTGTATTAAATAAATTTTGTGCCTCTTTTCGAAAATTAACTTTCTCATCCTCGTTTCGACTAAAATTCATGAAATTTTCATAATATCATCATAATTATTTTTGAAGCTTTGATAGTTTTTGTCTTCAATGGAGGCTGGTACCAAATATAGATCTGCCATGGGGTGCACTCCAAATAGCCCATATATAGATCTGCACACTTTCACTGTCCGACTTTTACACACAATAGTAAGACAATAGAAATGACCTATATGTTCTAACATATTATGTTATAATAGAATTTTTTTTTTTTCGAACCAGTGGTAAAGTAAAAAATGACTTTCAATAAGAATTACACATGTGATTTATATTGAATAAAAAATTATTCTATTCTATTCTGTTCTAAAGCAGAGCTTAAATTGACACACAAAACAAGTGTGCATACTGTCACTGTTTTTTCTTTCCTTCATATTTATTACTGGGAGATGCGAAATGGAATCTTCCTAGAACATCATATTGAAAAGATTAAGATTTGAAAAATACAAAAAAAAAAGACAAGTTGATATTTCGGTATCGGTACCGAAATATCAACTTGTCTGTGGCAATATTTATGTGTACATGATTCAGAAATTTTAATTGTTTAGTTTCTGTGGTAACTACTTTCACTAATAACATTATTCTGCATTATATTATGCACTGCTTATATATTGCACTCCCATACCGCTAGCTCATTTTTAGTAATGAAATGGAAAAATGGTTAATTAAGTGTAGAAAGTTATCTTATTATACAGTAATAAACTGTTCGAACTGTACTGAAAAGAGACCTACCTATTACTATACCTTATATATAATATATATAAGCTATAAATCATTACCATAGATATTTCGAGCTAACACTTATTCATGTTTTCTGTTCACCCAGTTCAGTGATGATGAGGAAGAAACAAAGCGTGTAGTGCGCTCTATGAAAGAAAAGCGTTATGAAGAATTGGAGGGAATAATTCATTCACTGCGCAATCATCGCAAGATCAAAGACTTTTCGTCGGCTTTAGCTTCCTTTGAGGAACTGCAGAGAGCATACACTCGTGCAGCACCCGTAGTTCAAAAAGAAGAGAATGGAATTGCTCCTCGTTTCTTTATTAGGGCTCTGGTTGAATTAGATGATTGGGTGGCAGGCGCATGGGCCGACCGTGATAGTAGAAAAGCGTTATCTAAAGGAAATAGTAAAGCTCTTACTTCATTGCGCCAAAAGCTGAGAAAATATGAGAAAGATTTTGATGCAGAGATCACCAAATTTCGCGAAAACCCCGATTTGCCAGACGATGATGAAGAACGAAAAGGTAAATTAGCTATTACTTTTAAAATACTACCTTTAACTCATGTCAAAACTTAGTTGCAAGTTATTCTTAAATTAGTCATCGGATTTTGACAAATCTATTTTAAATAATTGTGTATCACAATATTTCAAGAAGTATAGGAAATATCAGTAGAGCACAAATCAAGCACATTTTGTAGAGATTTGGTGTAGGTAGGCAACGACAGTCATTACTAGGAAAGTAAACGACTATTCCATAAATACTGATGTATATACTGACCAAAAGTATGGTGGTACTTCAAGCTCTGCTTACCTAAGCAAAATATGTGTCTTACTTTTGGGAATGTAAGAAAATGAAATTTCAAGTTAGCAGACAAATTCTTACTCACTCATCACTAATGTACAAAAATATTTGAATTAGTAGACTAAGGCTAAATTTTGGTTTTGTCTTCATTCATAAAATAATTATTGCTGTCTCGCTCTGTTACACGTCTTGATCTAATTGGATAAAATCTCTTTATTCCTATTTGCTTAGGGGTGTCCACTTTGAAAATACATCGATGTTTTTTTTCGATGTGATGCATCGAAACTGTGCATCGATATATTCCGATGCATCGGTTAAAAACATCGATGTTTTTCAACATCGAGTACTTTTTCTGACTTCGAACAACCGACAATTTTGAATGATCTACTATTCTTACATCAGTACTGTCTGCCCGCATGCCTTTTGTGAGTGTGTATGTGTGTTCAAGGATTATAGTTAGATCGATAGATATTCTTAATTGCATGACACACAAAGTGTCTTATTCGTAAGAACTAATATATTGTTAACAGAAGTAAATATTCATAGTTATTTATTTGTATTATTTATATTTGTATGTTGATGTGTATATATGTATGTATACGTCTGTATGCATATATTTGTATATATGCATAAATAGGAGATATTTCTATAGTATATTTGTTTTATATATTTGTAAAATTAATATATAACTTAGTTAATTATCATTTTTATTTTGTTATTATTTTATACTGCTACACCTACGTCAAATTCTCGTGGGTTGACTGGTAGATTTTTTTTGTATTATTCCCTTTGTATTCTTTTATATTAAGGAATGCAATAAAGAATAAATAAATTATTATTTATGATCATTCACCTACTACTAAATGGACGGCGGATCTAGAACAAAATTCACGAAAAATGTGTCCCGAGTCAACCTATACAAACATATAACGGAAAAGTATATATATATATATAATTTTAATTTATATTAAATTTAATTTTAAATTTATCAGCCTTTTAACTTCAACCAGAGGCTGCATTCTTTTCGCCTTATGAAGCTTCTAGCGAAAATTATCGGTATGGTTTTTTGTTTTTACAATTAATGTGAATTTAAATTAAATACTACGTATCTTGTATCTAAACAAAATATTATTTTTAAATTATTAAATATTAATAGTCTAATATAAATAGTATCGAAAAAATATATAAATAGTTTTGCTAGTTTTGTGATACTGTACGGCAATTTGGAGTGTATTATCGGGCGACAAAACGAAGACTGGCGTTCAATTCGAGCTCTTTTTGCATTTTGGAACTCTTTTGGCTCGGACACTTTTGAGTGCATAGCCGAGGTCCATTTAGTAGTAGGTCAATGTTTATGATATTATTTTAAATGATAAAAATTGATACATTCACAATAAAAATACTTACATATGGAATACAACTCCATCTTTTTGTAAACTTTTTTGACTGCTTTATGCACACGTTAACCGCACCGATTGGCATTTTTCAAAAAACACCTACTTCGGCGGAAATGATTCTTATAAGGATAAAAATCTAGTGCGTTTATAAAAACGATTCCGTAAGCAGGTTTAATCAACGCACAAGATTTTTAAATCCAATACCTTGGTAGAGGGCAATAATCATGCGAGGCGAGTCCACTGTGTTGAATGGTCTAAAGGCGTTAACTCACTTGCCTGCCGCAGGGTCAATCTAGGGTGTAGAAGTGAGGATTACCCTTAATTTCCTTCTTAATTGTGATGTGTGTATGAAAGCAGGGGTAATTTCCTAAGTCGGCCCTGTGGCTGGGCGGCAGTGGCGCAAGAACTTCCTTGCTCCCTAGATCATAGCTACCACTGCCACGTGTGTAGCGCAATTGGAACAATTTCAATCAGTTCGTTAATGACTTTCGCGCGCAGCACACTTCACAATAGATATCAATAAAAAATGTGAAATTTGGACACTGGTGATAGAAGTGTATAAATAGCGGCTTCTTCACCCATTATCTCCTTTTTGTTTTTTTTTACGGCAACACCGCAGAAGGAACGTTATTTGAACGTTGTAACGTTTTAAACGTGGTAGAGTCATGCTGCAGCTTTTAAGGACTGTGTTATGGTTGTAATTATTAATTAATTAGTTGTTTTATCATAAATATGGGTGTCTATGGGCCACAGTATCTCCTTAACATCAGGTGGACTGTGCTCATTTGTCCCCCTTATTCTTTATAAAAAAAGAACAAAGGCTATATTTACCGATTCATTGATATTTCCATAAAACTGGCGCCATACTCAACGCATGTGTCCACCGAGATGTACACTTTCATACTGAACGGCAGGCATGTGTGTAGAGAGACAATGCTGATATTGTCCCGATCGCTGTTCATCCTAGATTGCCCTGCGGCATGCAAGTGAGTAGCCGCCTTAAAACCGAGACAGACCAGACGATTTTTTTTTATTCTCTTTAGCACAGTGTTGCCAACCAGCCAATTTCTTGATTCCGCTAAGGACTGACAGCTGCCAAGTAGCGCCATCAACAGGTTTAATATTATAACTTCTAAATAAGAGCGCTGTTTTTCTGATTTAGAAGTTATAATATTAATAGTGATAGATAAGTATACCCTTTTTACCATTGGATGGTTATCATTGATTCGATGTTTTATGAAAATACATCGATACATCGAGTATATCAATAACTTTCCAAAACATCGGGTCGATTCGATGCATCGTATTGTAAACATCGAGTGAATTCGATGCATCGATGTATATCGAATATCCCTATATTTGCTTAGTATAATTTATGAAATGCAAAAACATATATTTTTTTTAAATTAATTTGCATTTGCATCTACATTTATGGATATATATATATATATATATATATATTATATCCATTTGGAGCATAGTTATTACATATGCATGTACATGACAATCCCAAATAAATATATTAAGAGATCCCAATTGTATTCTAATGTGTAACGGTTCAGGAAACTATGACACATCTTCTCTTTCAAACATACCTCAAAACCTTAAAACGAAATTGTACAACCAGTGCCTGTTGCCAGTGAAGAGTTACGGATCTGAGACGTGGTCCTTTACTGCAGGCCATATGAGGAAGCTCAAGGTCGCTCAGCGAGCTATGGAGAGGGATATGCTCGGGGTTTCTCTTTTTGTATGAATATAAACTAATACCCACGTCCAATGAACTAGGATAGAATTGTCCCTTTCAAATTTCAAAAAAGCATAATTGTTACATTTGGCTCCATGCTACGGACGGGGGATATATATGTCTATTCGTTATGTCAAACGGGGATATACTTCTCCCCGTTGCCGTGCTTTGGTATAGGGACAAGATAATTTTATCTCTTGTCATTGGATATAATCGGGGGATAAAATTTCGTGATAAACTTAGAAATGAGGATATCCGCAGTAGAACCAGAGTGACTGACATAGCCCAACGGATTAGTAAGCTGAAGTGACAGTGGGCCGGCCATATAGCTCGAAGAACCGACAACCGATGGGGAAGAAAGGTTCTTGAGTGGCAGCCTCGTACTGGTAGGCGAAGTGTAGGGCGACCCCCCCACGAGATGAAGTGACGACCTGGTAAGACATGCAGGAAGTCGATGGATGCAGGTGGCTCAGGACCGTGCTTTGTGGCATTCCTTGGGGGAGGTCTATGTTCAGCAGTGGACTTATGTAAGGCTGTCATGATGAATGATGATGAATGTGTAATGGTATTTGAAATATCTATTTACTTATCTTCATATTTTTTCTTGAACTGACATATAGCATTCATTATTATATGTACATAGACTATTATCACTATCTGTGCCATGGATTGCCAAAACTTAACAATTTATGGTGAATTTAGCAATTATATAAAAACATACTTTTCTCTTTGTGTTGTTTAATTTTCTAAAATACTAATAACTAAATGGTTTGGTCAGACTCATTATATATTTGGTTATCCCTCTTATTTATTACAGATACATCATCATCTGACGAATCTGATGATGAAGACAAGGTGAAGGAGAAAGTTAGAGTGCGTCGCTCACCCGAACCTCCACGTCGTCCCCCACCAAAAGATGATGAGTCCTCTGACTCTATGGATTGGGGTTCTAGTTCTTCCGATTCCAGCTCTAGCTCCGACGATGAAGCTCGTGGAGCCACCACCATAAGAGAACGGTTCTTAAAGAGAACTACTGAACGAGACGATGACGAAGAACGGGACAGGCGTCGTGCAAGGAGAGAAAGGCGTGAGAGAGGAGCTGGCAAGGTCAGCAAAAGGGACCAGACAGACGACGGCGGTGAATGGGAGACCGTTAGGAAGGGCGCCGCTACCTCTGATAAGCCTAAGATGTTTGCAAAGGTTTGTTATTTAATTGATCATTTTTACATTTCTTTTTTGTAAACAATCCACAACTGCTCATGAGCATATCCCATCATAATTAATACTTACTATGTATGTAAGAATTCACACATGAAATTTTATACATACATCCATTAATATATTATTTTGTTTTATTACTGTTATTTCAAATTAATATGGTAATGTTTCACAGGATAGCGACATCGATGCTGCCTTGGTAGTAAAGAAACTTGGCGAGATCAGTGCAGCCCGTGGTCGTAAGCGTACTGACCGCCGCGCTCAACTTGAGTTACTGCATGAATTGCGTACAGTTGCTCAGCAACACAACTTGGGAGAGGCACTTCAACTTAAGTTACGCGCCGCCACCGTCGCCGCTCTCTTTGATTACAATCCTAAAGTATCCGATGCCATGAAACCCGAGTACTGGTCTAGATTAGTCGAAAATGTTGACCATATGGTTACAATCCTTTTAGCTAATGAAAATATGGTTCTTAGTGAGACAATTACAGAGGATAATGAGGAACTCGTCACTCCACCATATCGCGTTCGTGGCTGCTTATTAACAGCATTGGAGAGGCTTGATGACGAGTTCACTAAACTATTGAAAGAGTGTGATCCCCACTCGAATGAGTATGTAGAGAGACTGAAGGATGAAGTGCGTGTCTCTGCGCTCATCGATCGCGTATGTCAAGTGGTCGAACGTGATGGATCCCCGCAAGAAATTTGTCGCGCTTATCTCCGTAAAATTGATCATTTGTATTATAAATTCGATCCTCGTGCAGTTCGAAAAGATTTACCTCCAGGAGAGGAAACAACTATCAAGAAAATGGAACGCTTATGCAAGTATATTTATGCCCATGACGAGACCGATCGTCTAAGAACGCGCGCCATCCTTTGCCATATATATCACCACGCTTTGCACGACAACTGGTTTCAAGCCCGAGATCTCCTACTCATGTCTCACCTCCAAGAAACCGTTCAGCATTCCGATCCGAGTACGCAAATTTTGTACAATCGTACAATGGCTAATTTAGGCCTGTGCGCGTTCCGTCGGGGCAATGTCAAGGAAGCGCATGGTTGCTTAGCGGAGTTGATGATGACGGGCAAACCGAAAGAGTTGCTTGCTCAAGGTCTGCTTCCTCAACGTCAGCACGAACGTTCTAAAGAACAGGAGAAGATAGAAAAACAGCGGCAGATGCCATTCCATATGCATATTAATCTTGAGTTGCTTGAATGTGTGTATTTGGTGTCTGCTATGTTGATTGAAATTCCGTACATGGCAGCTCATGAGTTTGATGCTCGCCGTCGCATGATCAGCAAAACATTCTATCAGAATTTGCGAGCCAGTGAGCGACAAGCTTTAGTTGGTCCTCCAGAGTCTATGAGAGAACATGCTGTAGCTGCCGCCAGGGCTATGCGCCGCGGAGATTGGCGAGCTTGCCTTAATTTTATTGTAAACGAGAAAATGAATGCTAAGGTAAATTTATTTCAATATTTTCACTCAACATTTATAATGCTTTTATCTTGACAAACAAACTTTTTATAGCACAGTTAAGTTTTAAGTAACATTCTATAATATGTCAGTTCATAAAACAAAATAATAATCTACTTATTTACGCAAAATACGCGCTTAGACGTGGAGTTGCGGAAAACAGCCCATCGTATATATATAACCTACTTATTTTCATCCTAAAGTGAAACTAAACGCGAAACAGCTACCAAAGTAAAACTTTTATGTGCACTTACATCTGTCTATGATTTTTCCCTAAACATAATGTAATTCTGATACAAACGTCTACAACTATTTCTATTCAACTTTAACATCCACTTTGTTAACTCCACTGTTAGACATGGGCTTGCCCCGCTTGGCTGATGAATTCACGATTGCAGTTCCAAAAGTTTGCACCTTTGACGCTACTCCCTGTCGCTGTTCTGGATATTTTACGCCAGACGTAAACGAGATCCTTATACCTGCCATTCATCAGTCAAGTTTTTTACAACTGAAGTTACTGAATATAGTTGCTGACAACTAAATGGATTCAAGGAACTGACTTGAAATGAAATGGGGTGATGCATTCTCTTGTGTCACCATCACACGGCACAATTCTCTAATTATTTATTTGTATATGAACTAATCTATACAGGGTGTTTTTGGAACGCTCCCGAAAACTAAGACAGGCGACAACACCAAGTATACCTTTGATCATGGGTCACAAATAAATTCGATCCTGATGAAAAAAAAAATCATCTTTTTACAAGGTTTTATTAGCTTTATTCACGCGCCATCATGTTAGTACAGCTAAATGAAACGATAATTTCATAAAAAATATCATGAAAATACTGAAACTTAAAACCAGCAGTGAAATGACTGAATTGATATCACCTGACCTGAGCTAGATAAAGGTCAATGTACGCGCGAACACAAATTCGCGCGGCCCGCAACTAGCGGGCCATCCCACAATATAATAATTTACAACACGTGTCTAAATACCTAACTTATCTACTTAACCTACTATTTTGCCACTGTGCTTATCTCCACGTAGCCACTTTAATCCGAATTTACAGGTTAAATAACCCAAATAACTGGTTCGATTCCCCGCTAATGAAGAAATACTTAAATGAAATGTAAACAAGGTTGGAGTCATGCGTTTTTATTCATCGTGTAGGTATGTTTATTATTCTCATGTATTCAGTTATGTACCTATTCAGATTAGTCTAGTACTAAATTATTTAAAAAAAATAGTTATGAAACAGCTTACTGCTCTAAATCCTCCGTGGTCTTATGAGATGCGGCTCAAATTGTGCTCCATTCATTTCAAGGCAGATTTGGGTGCAGGCGGGGCATCATCGTGTGGTCTTCGACACAGTCCGTACGTAGTTTCTCGAAAGCATCCACGATCCTTTGGCGCATTTCTTCAGCACTATCACATTCACGATTAAAAACCCTTTCTTTCACATACCCCACAAAAAGAAGTCTAACGGAGTCAGATCTGGTGAGCGAGGTGGGCAAGCGTGTGGTCCTAGTCTGCCGATCCAGCGACATCAAATAGCTCATTGAGGCGCTCACGGACGAACCTCACGAAATGTGGAGGGGCACCATCATGTTGGAACTATGTGCGGCGATATTCAGCCAACGATAGGTCGTTTAAAATGTCAACCAACTGTTCATTTATAAAGTTTAGGTATCGCTGTCCGTTCAGTCGCTCTGGCAGAAACACTGGTCCCAGTATGCGATCCTTAAATAAACCTGCCCATACGTTAACCGACCATCGGGTTTCGTGCCCGGTTTGTCGAACAGCGTGCGGGTTAACCTCTGAATACACGTGTGTATTTCTTCGGTTCCACAGGCCGTTTCTGGTAAATGTCGACTCATCCGTCCAGATAATGTGCTCAATGGAACCAGGCACACGTTGTTGCTGGTATAATAACCAACGGCAGAAAACTCTTGTGCAATTTGTATGGGCGCATTGGTTACGCTTCAACACTTTGTGCACTGCATAGTATGACACACTTGTTCCATCTCGACGTCTTAACAATTTATTTAGCGATACTTCGTGTACCTAGGTTCGGATACCTAACATGTTGACCACTATAAACGTACGCGTTAGGCATTATTTAAACAAAAAAGAATCCAAAAACGTAACAAAAACTTTAATATCAACACATAATCACAAGTAAATTTATTAAACAAAACGATTTAACTGTCGCTCGCGCACGCGTGTACAAAATCAACACGGAACTGTCTCAAAAACACAACTGCGTCACAAGCGTAAGGCGACAGGGAATAGGTCAACAGCGGAGTGAGTGTGGGTACAGTCGCGTTCTAAAGTACTACATGGTATTGGGCTATTGTTTTATAATATTATAGTAATTAATTGTTTTATTGTAGAATCATAATAGGTGTTTTACTAGCTACTTGGAACTTTGGAAGAGGTGGGAATTAAAAATAGATAATGTTTACTTGAGCATTGTTTGTTATTTCTATCGTAAAATATAAAGTAGTTTGTAACAAAAAAACTTAAGCTAAGGGTGACACGCCGTCCATTATGACGTCTTGGGTCACATGGAAGCCAGATGTTGATGGTGTGTTGGTGTTACTGGATGCTACTTCATCATCACTTTCATCTTCGCTTGAGCTTCCGTCATCAGGTCGATCACATGGTAATTTTTTCGGTATTCTTCCTCAACAATTTTAACTTTACTGCACAATTTTCCCCATTCACTTTTTCGTTCACTAGTTTAGTCATAAAACAATAGATATAAATAATTTTTTTTCCTTCCTTTTTAAAACATCGTCGCGAGTCGCAAAGTAAGCTGTGTATGCGACTGTATTTTTGGAGCGAACAAAGCGCGGGAACCAATAGCATGCAGGCACAGTAATACTGGCCAATATGTGATAAATCGCTCAGTGCCCAAGTTCAAGGCCAGCGTTCTTTTTTCACCGTTCGCGCGTACATTAACCTCCATTAGTCAGGTGATATCAATTCAGTTTCCACTGCTGGTTTTATGTTTCAGTATTTTCATGATTTTTTTTATGAAATTATCGTTTCATTTAGCTGTACTAACATGATGGCGCGTGAATAAAGCTAATAAAACGTTGTAAAAATATGTTTTTTTTTCATCAGGATCAAATTTATTTATGACCCATGATCAAAGGTATACTTGGTGCTGTCGCCTGTCTTAGTTTTCGGGAGCGTTCCAAAAATACCCTGTATAAAAATACTTATACATATAGAAACTAATCTAAAAGTGATATGGTGAGGTGAAAACATTTTGACTTAAACAAATTATATTATGATTTGGTTCAAGACATACCATAAACACTTTTTAATTCGTTTTAATATAAGTCAGTATAAAATATATTTCATTACTATAGGTTTGGGACCTGATGGTGGGAGCAGACAACGTACGTGCGATGCTGGGTCGTCTGATTCGGGAAGAGTCACTTCGGACGTACTTGTTCACTTACGCGCACGTGTACGCATCGCTGTCGCTGCGCTCGTTGGCGGACATGTTCGAGCTGCCGCGGCAACGTGTGCACTCCTTGGTATCAAAAATGATCATAAATGAGGAATTACTGGCATCTCTTGATGACCCAAGCGAGTGCGCTATACTGCACCGTTCTGAGCCTACCAGGATGCAAGCGCTGGCGCTGCAGCTTGCCGATAAGGTAAATAATTATATTATAACTTTTGTATTATTACATTCTTTTTAACTAAAGAAATTTCTAAATTCTATTTCGTGATATAAATATAATAATATATATAAATAAACAATGAAAATTTATGTCTCATTTATTTAAGTGGGTTGGAAAAGTTTATTGAAAAAATATATTAAGAGCAAAGATGTGAAAAACTACAACAATTAAATAAAACTTGCAGTTATAAATTTTATCAGCTATTGAAAAGTCACCCAAAGTTACTTAAAGTCAAAACTTTTTAGTTAGTTTACTAAACTTACCACTTTTTAGTTATTTAGACTTGCTTAAAGATCTGATGAATGTTTAAATCCAAACTGGTTTGGAAAACAAGACTAAAGAAGAAACAAAAGAAACTCTGGGGCCTTTATTTAAGGCCCCCCGCGCACTAGGCAGCCTGGCTGCGGCAGCCAGGCTGCGGCAGCCAGTCGAACATATGACGGTGTATGGCAGCCCGCGCACCTAAGCAGCCACGAACTCCCGGCTGCGGCAGCCATAAAAGCGCGTCCGATTTCACGGCAGCCCGTTGACTGCGCGCAGCCAGAATGAGTAGGGCAAATGTATGTGGCTGCCGTCAGTCACCGCGCACTTGTGGTAGCAGCCAGGCGAATTTTGTGTTCCGAAATCACAAAATGACTTTCGATACGGAGAAATTTATTCGTGAAATTGAAAACCGTGAAGCAATATGGTATATATCTATAGGAGTATCATTGCCCTTGATTGAATTTCTTATATTTTCCAAAAGGTATCAAATGATTGCACTGATATTCTCGTGTTAAAAACCGGTCTGGGTATTTACGAACATCTTTGAAATAGGTATGAAATAAGCCTTTTTTTTAAACATTACCCCCACACTAGGATTTTCTCAATTATCGCAGAGGCAGTTTACAAACACAAATTGCACAAGGACAAACATCCAGACCCGGAACAATTATTTGTAGGTCATACATATACTTGTTCCGTGCGGGATTCTAACCCGCGGCCCCAGCGCAGCAACTCATTGCTAAGCCACTGCGCCACGGAGCCGTCTTTTGAGTGCCGTTCTAGAAAAAGAGGATGAATTCAATGTCTTCTAGCTTTGCTTTTTTACGAAATACACACAAAATTACAAGTTCTTCAACGTCCATATCCCTCGAAAAAAGGGTCACGACTGGCCGTCCATTGGCTGTTTAGAAGTGTCTACTCAAATATTTCGTACGCCGCAGCCTGGCTGCGCAGCCAGGCTGCCTATTGCGCGGCAGGCGTAAATGCGTATTTACAGTTTTCATTTACAATTTGTAATAAATTACTACAATATATCAGTAGCCAGGGGACTTTAGAGTTGTTTCCTCACAAAAGATCTGCCATAATCGCTGCACTTGGTCGAGCAGATTGGGTTACCATAGTTGACATCCCCATTACAAAATACGTTGATGAATTTATGTACACACACAAATATAAACTAATAAAATTGATTATTAGTTTCATTGTCCATTCCATTTCACTGCCTCCTTTTTCTTGATATCTCTTGCAGATGACAAGATAGGAAGTAATATGGAGTTTTAATCATTAACTTTGCGCTTATTAACAACATAATCCTTTGCAGGTCGGCAACTTGGTGGACTCGAATGAACGAATCTTCGAGAAGCAAGGGTCATTCTTCCAGAGGGGAGGTGCAGGGCGCGGAGAAGGACGCCAAAGGGAACGTCCCAGGGACGGCTGGAACCGTCGCCAACGCAACCGCCGTCGCGACGATGAACGCGGACACGACGATTAAACCGCGTCTGACTAACATGATATACTCTACGCAAATATATAAGTACACCAACTGCATATTTCACTCATGTTGCGACGGTTGCAACTATATTCGCTGGTCTTACAAATTGATTATCCAGGCTTTTTTAAAAACAATAACGTTGGAATATCCATAAATCAACAATATACAATAAAGGGTAAGTGCTTAAATTGTGACACTACAAAAATGTATTATTATTTATCGCATGTTTTATAGTTTATCACTATAAGATAATAAATATTTGATATCGTAGATTTAGTCTTTTTGTTTGTTATTGTATGCACAAATTACTATTCGTGATTATGTTAAATGTATTTTGACTTAAATTGAAATTGTTGTAGGACTATTCTCCTTTTAATAAAATACATCTTTAACTAATATGTGAAAAGAAATAAATTTCCACTTACTTTATAGTTATGTGTGCGCTTTGTTTATAAGCCTAAGGCTCATCTGCATATATCATATATCAATTTGTAGAAAATATTGTTGCAACCGTCGCAAAGTAACAGCTTTTTTTATGGTTTTAATAGACCTTTAAATATAGATAACGCAGTAAATTCATTTTTATTAATAATTATCATATAATTTCACCTATATTGTACAATTCATAATTTGAGAGAACTATACTGTGTTCAACACTAGGATGTTTTATGCTATGCTGCGTTTTCTAAGACTACGAAGTAAAAACTTCAACTGTTCAACACCAGTAAAGTATATCATTTTGTTACTAAGATTTGTATTATTAATCATCAAAAAATAAAATTGTCACAAAAACATATATTTTATTTTTGTATACCTTACTCATTAGACGCCATGGTAGCTCAAAGGTTTAGCGCTAGCTGTTAATTTCATAGTACACGAGCGACCATGTTTGCTCTTCGTCGTCTTTTGACCTTGAAATTGTTAATAGTAATTTTATACGCTGATTCGAATTTTATGTTCAGACATCGTGAGGAAACCTGCATGTCTGTCAACATGCACTGGAGCAGTGCGGTGAACTAATTGCTCCATAGTACGCTCAGAAATGAGAGAGCTCTGTAATATATTATGGGCTATTATTTTACTTTTATTCATCAGTCAAACAACACGTAAATTATTATGAAAAAAATCGTTAAAAATATATTTTATTCAGATGTTCTCCTGCATTTTCCGCTAGGTGGTGCGATGAGTGAGATAAATGAGAAGAAGAATAACTTACTACATGACCGAAACAATTAGACACAGTTAAGACGGGAGGGTACACCAGAACGGTGATTGGTTACTAGGGGAAGCGGGGGGATAGAGGCGGGGTATAGGCGCCGAAACAGCATTCCTGGAGTAATAATGTTCTGTGATTGCTGTCATGCGCCTACAGCTGAACGCACATTTGTCAACACCGTACGTGCCATACGCGCCGCATTTGTGGCCTCGCACATTTGTACGTTCGCGCCGTACGCAAATCCTTTGTATTGCCAACAACTTTTGCAGTTTTTGCTAACCACTGGTGTGAAACGGTACAGTGACACAGATCGCTCGAATCGCTATGGAAAAAAATATTGTAATAGCCTGTTTATTGGCAGAGGAAGAAGAAAATAAAATTCGAACAAAAAGAAGATTCTGGATTCATAATATTAATTGAAAAAGACAGTCATATGGAGATTTTTTTTATAGGATAAGGGTGACAAACGAGCACACAGTCCACCTGATGGTAAGTGGTTGCTGCGGCCCATAGACATCTACATCTATCCTCTATTACAAATCAAAATGCAGATGCGTTGTTACCCGTGAGGACTAAGATGGAATGCCTCATTTCCAGTAAAAAGGGCCTCCGGCCACCTGCACTCACCAAACGAAACGCAGAGGTAAACCTCTACTTCACGCTGGTATTTTGTGAGGTCGTGGTACCACCCCGGTTCGAGCCGGCCCATCCGTGCGACAGCAAAAGCTGCCGCGTGGCTCTACCACCAGTGGTAGAGCCACGCGGCATTATACATGAATGGTTTTTTAGATATTTGAATTAAAGAAATTTGAACAATGGCTACATATACTAAAACCATAACTATGAAAAACTCAAAATTTAGAAGGCCAATTGAACCAGAGGACAGACTTGTTGTATATTGATAATTAAGTAATCAGGTATAATTGGGTTTTTGAATTAAAATTAACTATCATTTTTTATTGTATTTAAATAATTTATCACTAAGTATTCAAATTGATAATCGACGCAAAAAAAAAATCAAATTATGTATGATTAATTACGACTTAATTAGAAGTTATAAAAATTATCACTTAGAAACGCACCATAAGTGAAGTAAGAATATATTTCGAAACGAAAGTCGAAGCCACCAGTTTTAGTGGAAAATCCACTAAGTTGGCAACATTAGACAACGCTGAGTATCATCATGCACCGCGTTATATGACGTCATCAGCATGCGTCCTTCAATATTCGGATACCTACCGAATTTTATAAAATTCGGCGCGTACGGTGCGGGTGTAATGTACGAGGTTTCATATAATTTCATACAACGAATTCTAAAAAGCGGCGTGTACGGTGTTGACAAATGTGCGTTCAGCCACAGAATTAATAATAGTACTACGTACAGAAGTGGCACTCCTCTGATGTTGACAGCTTGCCGACGTTTTAATAGCCTACATAGTCATTATTAATCAGATAAATCGCGCACGCAAGCTAATTAAAACTATATGGCTGCGTGCGAGTGTCAGTATTACTTTGCACCTTTCCTCCTTCCTACATCACTTCTGTGGTTACTAAGGGCTGTTAATAAAGAGTAAACAAATATATTGTGATATATGAATAAGTTACTTAGGTAAAGTACGTATTTTGACTATGATTGACCATATTTCCGCTACTATGTGAGTTCTGTGATGCCCAACGCATGCAACTTGCAATTACATTCGTCGGAAATCGCGATGCTTGGCTCGTAAGAAATAGGTAGATAGTGTAAACAACAAATAAACCCGAAATACGATTCCTAATAGAAAGGAGAAGGAGACGTCTCCATACATTCTTGGGCCCAAGTGTTAAGATGAAAGTAGAACCATTTGAAAGCGTATATATAAACAATTCATAGCTGAAAATCTGGCAAGATTTGGCAATCTAGGAGCCAAAGACGTATAAAAAAAGATACCGTTCAGAAACTAAAAACAGAGAATTTCACTAGTGTATTCTTTATGGTAATCGATTTATTGCCATAAAGAATATACTACAATCGATTTTCTAACTTATTTCTTATTTTTTTCGAAATCTAAATTGTAAAAAGAGCTACTTATTTGTATTTTACTTAAGAAAAATATGGCCAATTTTTTAAAGTATAAACCAATTAGTTAACTTCAGGCCCAAAAATCCCATTCTCCTTTGATCGTATTCTACTTATTAAAAATCATGTAAACAAAGTTTTAATTTCAGTATATTGTGTTATTAAACTTAAAATATTTTAATTACAAAAGACAAGTATATGTATGTAAGTAAATACTTTTGTAGTGAAGTAAATTTCAACAAAGTTTTGTAATAAAGAACTTAGGTATTACTTTTGTAATTAAATTATTACTTAATTCTTATTTCGCTATACGTACTTAGTTAACAATAATTAAAAATTTTGTACAAGCGACTTCAATATATATATTATTAAGGATAGCTCAAAAACTATTGGTCAAATTTATATACGACTACATGAGAAGCACCAGCTTTCAAATAAAAAAAACACAGACGAATTGAGTACCTCCTCCTTTATGAAGTCGGTAGAATTTTTTTTTATAGGATAAGGGTGACAAACGAGCACACAATCCACCTGATGGTAAGTGGTTTCTGTGGCCCATAGACATCTACATCTATCTTCGATTACGAATCAAAATGCAAATGCGTTGACACCCGTGAGGACTAAGATGGAATGCCTCGTTTCCAGTAAAAAGGGTCTCCGGATCTCTACACTCACCATACGAAACACAGCAACGTAATGCTGCTATTTTATGCTGGTATTCTATGAGAGCATGGTCCTTCCCCGGTCGAGCCGACCCATTCGTACTACAACCATAAATAGCTGCAGCATGGCTCTACCACGTATAAAAGAAATTAAATAAATTCACCTTTCATTATCCTTCGGTAACTTAAAAAATGATCCATCTGAATCCTTTGGTTTGCTCATTAAGCATCCATTCCCGCAACAATTATAGTAGGAACGACGTTTTGCCTTTATAATTTATTTATTAAATATTAGGTAATATTTCATAAATAAATATTACCTATTACCACTGTTAATGGTAGAGCCGCGTGGCTCAGCTTTTGCTGTCGCACGGATGGGCCGGCTCGAACCGGGGTGGTACCACGACCTCACAGAATACCAGCGTGAAGTAGAGGTTTACCTCTGCGTTTCGTTTGGTGAGTGCAGGTGGCCGGAGGCCCTTTTTACTGGAAATGAGGCATTCAATCTTAGTCCTCACGGGTGACAACGCATCTAAATTTTTATTTGTAATAGAGGATAGATATAGATGTCTATGTGCCGCAGCAACCACTTACCATAAGGTGGACTGTGTGCTCATTTTTCACCCTTATCCTATAAAAAAAGAGGTAATAATATACAGATATATTATTCTTAAATTACATAAAAACTTTTCCAACTATTTTTACAAAAAACTATTTACGTAATATACTCTGTGGCCATGACTGCGTTCTATCCCGGGGGCGATTGTAGGTAATTATTTCACGCAGGTAGGTAGCAAGAGTGACAGAGGCCTGGTTCAGCTTAATTGTTTTGGCTAAGTTGTACATTTTATGTTATAAATTTAAGTAATTGTGTCTATATAGAATTTGTTTTTTTTTTGGAGTTTATGGCCTGGTATCTAGACCTTTAGGCCAAGTCTTAAGTATTTTTATTCGGTTTATTGTAATTTCCCCACTCCTTCATAGTATACTGCTTCACAATATGTTGATGCGTCACATTGTGCAGCTCCTGGGAGATTTTGGCGGCAACTTGATCCAGCAGACA